CCTATATGATGTAGAGAGGCGGTATCGCATCAGGCTACACTGTAGAGGGGTGGGTGATTATTTTAACCACAAGAGCACTCGTAAAAGCTGAAGCTGAAATTTTCTCAAAAGGCTTGTTGCATTATAGTTAATGGTACTATTTTGAGTTTTGAAAGGCCCTTCGCAACACCCAGGTCGCGATGTCTAGGTATAAGTACAAGCAGCCCCTTAACTAAGACGATAGTAGTAGTAGGTATTTTCCTAGATGGGCTCTTGAAAAATGAAAACCATCAGATTACTACCCAAAATAACTGCCTAAATCGACATCCATCTATAAAGTTGTCATTCTACAAATAATAATTAATTTTTTTATTCCCACGAGCTTTTGAAGACTGAAGATTAGTTTGGTTATTCTTTAATAAGACCACTAAATGATGTACACCTTTACATAGAATGATTTGTCTACTCTACTGCGAGGACTGCCATTTCTGTGGTACTTTTTTTATTTCCCCAGGTTCTTTCTTGAAAGCCAGGCTACGAGATGGTCTTCTGACCCTCTTAGCTCGGGGCCAACAAATATCTGTTTTGTTTGAGGCCAGTCGGTCTAACTCATCGGCTTTCTCAATGCCTACTACTACCAAGTGCCTGTAGGGCAGCCCTGCTGTCACTGGGAGATTATTCTGTAGTTTTGTATATTTATTTTCTGCATAAGGACTTGCGATAAGCGTTAGTGCCGTTATAGTTCTGAAAGGAATACCAGTAAGAAGTTTGTTTGTGGTTGGGTAATGTCGAAATTTCAGTTCTTTATTGGAATGCATCCGTGATGAATATCAGGTTGGGATGCCACTTCCGCATCAAAAAATATGTATAGTAGGTAGTTTTTCCGCAATATGAATTGAGGGGTGAGTGAGTCCGATAGCCCTTTTAGGATAGGAAATGGCTTATAATCGCCTCGCTCAGAATACGGAAGTGACCCGCCACCTATCCTCGCATGTACCTATAGCTCTGCTATTTAACAACTCCTTAATTAGTTTGTAGACGCAAGGATGCCATCGTATGGCCCTGCTCTCTCACGTAGAGATCTAGTGGAGGCAGACCCAAAAGGGCTTCATGACGTGGCTGTGGGAGTTGATTGCATTGCACCCGTGCAATTAAGGCACGCTAGTCTTGCATGAAGTAGGTACTTACTATGTAGTTGTCGAGAGTCTGGTTTTAGGCCGCCCGCGACAATTGTTCCATAACAGAACATAGGCCTAATCACGAATCATATATGGCAGTGTACACCCACAGGACAGCCTTTGTGAATGGTCCCCACAAATTGCAAGAAGAGCTTATAGGTATTATATATGCCTTCCAATACTGGTGATTTGTATGCTGAGAACGATTTCACTGCAGTAAAGGCGGTTGAATTGCCTCTGGCCATTAGTGGTGGCTCCGAGAAAGTGAGCATAAGTATAGCATACCTCAGCTGCCTTCAAGAGAGGTTGTCCGTATAGGAATCTCTTCTGAAGCCAGCTGAGTTGTAATTAGGATTTTATGTAGGCGGAATTCTATAGGACTGCAAAAGCTTCTCCATGCCTCTCTCATTTCCAACAATGCACCAGTTTTGAAATATGTAACACCGAGTGTAACACAATGATAAAAGGAAGCTTCTCTTGTAATCCACCACGTTTGCCTCATTCCTAAGCGTCAGGATTTTTGTGTGCTACTTCAATATCCTAAACTGAAATGTTAAGTCAAAACTCACATGTTCTACCCCGCCTTTTGAGCATTCATTTATGACTGGAATGCCTGAAAGCTGAAAGCCTTACCTTTCTTTTTATTTTTCGACTTTCTTACATTTATAGACCTGATCACCATAAACCGCTTTCTTGCACAATTTGGAGGAAGCTTTGAGGATATTGTGCAGTATGTATGATGAAGCTATGTACCTATGCAATATAATCAGGATACAATGTGCTTCAAAAGTACCTATGCCATGACAAGCTACTTTTCAAAAATAGAATGATAGAGGAAATTAAGAAAAAGAATCTGAGCCTTTATTGTGTTTATTGTCAAATTCTTTCCAGGAACTTTGCTTTGTTAATAATTTATTAATTTGGAAATTTCATGAGTATGATTATTTTGATCCAATTTTAAATGCCTTAAATGAAGAAGTATACTCCCATCAATTCAGGGGTGGTAAAAAAATATGCAAATTACTAAAATATCTACTACAATTTTGAAGTCTCTCCCAGGTACAAAATGACAAAGAAGATATTCATAAATTCACATTTCATATATTAGAAAATGCAGTTTGATACAATAGCAACTTAAATATAAACACTTGGCCCTTTCTTATTTAATGCACCAGTCTGAAGTATCATAGTAAAAACGACTTCTTATTAGGTATATTTATAACCACATATGCACCACAGCAACTATTAGGATGCCTTCGATCTTCTATTTACTACTGAGTGGCAGTTGTTGGTAAGTTTAACAACAAATTCTGGCCAGTTGGAAGATATGAAACCTGTCTAGATCTAGACAATTGATACGCAATATCTTCGGCAGCTTCAATCCGTCTCAACTCGACCAAACCTTCGCCCGTATCTCCGAATGCCTTTGCCAGTAGTACAGCGGCTTGAGCATCACCTTCGGCAGATATAACTGTCGCCTTCTTGGTCTGTTCTGCTTTCTCTACCAAGAACCTGGCCTTTTCCGCTTCCTGTTGTGCGACTTGCTTTAATTCGACAGCCAGAGTGAATTCTCTACCAAAGGTCAGATGAGTAATGGAGATGTCATCTAGAATAACTCCGAACTGAGCCCCTCGTTCTGTTAAGTGGTCGCTGACTTTCTGGGAAACCAAGTCACGTTGTGTAATAAGTTCACCGGCATCGAACTGTGCTACAACTGCTTTGAGAACTTCTGTCGTAATTGACGGGAGAACACGTTCTTCGTAATCTTGACCTAAGACTGTGTAGATTTTTGGTAGTTGATCGGGGAAAGGTCTGAAGAGGATACGTAGGGTGATATTCACATTTTGCAAGTCTGAAATTAAAGAGTTTTTGTTACAAATTCAACATAAATTGGCCGATTACCTTTGCTGCCAGTGATTACTGGTACGTTTCTAGGTCTCGATCGAATGTCGAATATAATCGGTCGTTGGACCCATGGAATAAAAAAATGTGTGCCCTCGCCTACAACCTGGTTTTTTACTCCAGAAAATCTATCAAATATTACGGCACGATGTCCTCCATCAACTGCAATTAAAACCATTAGCGTAGAGAAAAGGATTGCATCTTTGTACCGTTATATAATGCGGAATTAACCACACCTCCAACTAGGGCGACTCCTAGACCTATTTGGCCGACTCTATTGAAGAAATTCATTGCAAACGTACAAAGAAATGCAAACCTGCAAGGACAATGTGACTAAAGTAATTGTAAGGTTATGTATAGGGGCATTTATCGTATATGGGGAAAATGCTCTTGCGCTTATTGAATTTAGTTACGAGAACAGTGAGACTTACTAAAAATGCAAGCGTAACGTTTTGTAGGCTTTTCAATAAAACTGTTTTAAATATTTTTGTACAAGAAGTAGAAAAGTTGGGGGAATTTGAGATAGATAGATCATAATTCATAATCAAGAATAAAAATCCCTATAATGGTAGATGGATGTGGTTAGTATTACGCCAACGGGATTATGTTATACATGATATATAGGATGCCCTTGAAGTTATAGTGCGTTCACCAGCCGAAGCACTAACTAAAGTGGGGAATACTCTAGCAAGGATTTGCGCGTGAGTTGCTTGCCATTTTGAAAGTGTCAGAAACGGAGGAATGATATCCTTATTAAGTAGTACTTTAAAGTCGATTATTACACATAGTGACTTATCGAACAGAAGAATGGAATGCGCCCCCCCCCCCCCGCGCGCTCCACAATCGTATAACCAAGACCTCAACCTTCTCTATTATGGTTCTCTCACAAGATATTCCTCATATTTCCAGTCTTGTTGTGAGATGTGTTGCCTAACCGTCGGGGTCAGTCTTGCAACCTGCTTGTCTCCTCGCTTTTTATCCACAAGTATGACTCGCGTTAATGAAATGCGAAGTATATGTGATTAATTAGAACACGTTTTAATTGCATTGCTACAATTTATTAGATTAGTTCATTAAATTTTAATGAGAGTCCGACATACAACACAATTATACAATTTAATTAAGATTCTGCTACACACCCACCTTCCATCTTGTTTATAGGAGTACCTACCATATTTGCATTAATTGAATGTTTATATTAATTTCTCAGTTAAGCCGCATAAATTACCTACCGTTTTAATTAGGAAAAATACCAAGCTGGCAAGAATTATTGCATTTGAGTAGTTCATTTTTTGATTATTGTCAGTACCTACTTCAAATACACCTACCAATTAACTTAAAAAAAAAACTTTTATGAGCAAATTTTTGAATTCTTTTTTGATGATCGCCTAAAAAATGTTGTGTGCACCTTGGCCAAAAGTGATTTGTTAGGCCTCATCTGAATTGCGGCCTCGGCTATCGCCTCGGCCACAAACAGCAGCTTCGGCCAAAAAAGATCACTTTTACGGCCTTGGTACACAAATAACTATTTTGGGTGCTTCATGGTTTTTTTGTATAACCAGGAATACAAACATCAAAATAAATTCTATAACTACATTTTCCGCCCATTTATATATTACTAATCTTTGCAACAGAAAAATGGCTCAAACACCTACAGAGTGTTCACGGTAATATTTCTTATAAAAGTAGGTATATGTAATTGTCGAGTACTTTAATTTGTCAAGCACTGCCATTTTCTGCATTATATTATTTTTTCCAAAATAGTCTTTTTTAATATGTAGGTATAATTATTAATTAATATACTTTTGGTAATAGGGTATTGAATTGGGCTCCAAACTAAAATCCTGAGCTGTTATTTTTTTTAGTCCATAGCTCTGTTCCACATACAAATAAATGTGAAGTTGCAATATAAGCCAATTATACAAATAATAAAATAAATTCTTTGTGGAACAAATTTAAAACATTCTTTTAAATCACAATATGCTAGGTGTTACCATAACGTTTTCATGGGATGCTTGTAGTTACACAGCAATAAAATTTATATAAGGTACTTGAAGGAGTCATAAATTCAACTAGGAATGTACTTAGTATCATAAAAATAAAATACAGTGCTAAAGGTGACTACCTATTACAATTTATGATCTCTGCTCATAAAAAATTTAAAATATATGCAAAACCATATATTAGAATTTGTTATAAATGTTAACATTAAAAACATTTATTTCTCCTTTTTCTTGGACAATTCAACGTCCCAATAATACCATAACTGGAACACGAGAACAAAGTTAGCACTAGATGACACTAAATATGTGAGAATTATCATAAAGTCACCAGTCTCTTGAATTGATGTGAAAATCCTAGCTAACGAACCACCGAATAACATAATTAATGTAACAGCAGACAACTGTCCGGTTGTCCCATTCTTGTAATTGGTGTACGCTTGCGTTAATTTCCCAGTTAACAAAATTGGAATGTTGAACCCTTGTAATGTCCACAAAATTCCAATGGGCGTAATGCCGCTCATCATTATGAAACATGTAATTAGATAGCCTATAGTGTATATGGTCGCGTTAGATGGGCTGCCGCTGTAGTATAACACCAACACTCCGACGATTAATGTCTGTATCGCTAGAAATAAGGCATCTCCGTACGAAGTGAACGGGAATCCTTTTACGAAACTGTATGATAGAAATATGGTGATTGCAACTAGATCAAGTGTTACACTGGAGATGCTGATTCCAACGGCACTCTTACTTTTGAAGATTTTGATTATTTGTGGAACTTTTACTAAGACTGCACCTAATATTAGCAAAACACCCAGACATTTACTTAGCGTCGTTTTAAAGCAGGGTGCTGCAAATTAACCATTAGCTGTATAAAAAATGAGCGATGGATACTTGCCACTGAAGAAATTAAATTCCACAAAGTACTCATCGTAACATTCCGGAGTTAGCACAATTGAAGTAACCTTTCTGAATAAATCCATTGTGGAAGACTTGCGAGTTGTGATGTGTGTTTCACAAACCTATCTTTATATACAGTTATAAAAATTCCTTATCAACAACCTTTAAACCTTTTACTATAATTTGAAGTCATGAGACTCTTCTAATGATTGCAGTTCAATTAAGCTGTGTATTTAATGAGCCACAGATTTAAATAAAATCCACGTTAGTTATTTAACCTGACGGAGTTATAATCTAAGGTTATAATACCCGATTAGGACGATTAGGTTATTTTTTAATTGTCAACTTGTCTGTGGCTAAAGCTACTGGTGTTTTTCTACGTGATTATAGCACATTTGATCTATTCCCCACCGTAACCTACATACAGTACGTTCGTTTATTCTGTGTGTCCATGTCTATGTGAGCATGAAGGAGCTGTATCGATATTTGATGAAAAACTAATGCGCATGAGAACAGGTTTATGAATAGGAGTTCCACAGCTGAGGTGTTTGGTGATGATTGACGATTATATGATGTGAGGATATCAGATGTAGACATTTTTTATCTCAAACAACTTGTACGTATATTCCTCTACTGGCTACCCCACGTCCCCACCATTATAAATATATTGTGTAATATTTAAAGAAGAACCAAAGACAGCTTGCAAACATTTTATTGCAGTTAAATCGATAACTTTTATAGTATACTTAAAACGGTAGGTATAGGAAATGGGAACTATTATTGTTTTGAAACAAATTTATTTCCTGTCAGAACCTGCCCCTTTTTTAAATCGAATGGCAACAGCAGCAGTAAATTATCGTGCAAATATCTGAAATATTTAAAGTAGAACATTAGTGGAGATTTTCTATCATACGAATTTTATAGGTTCATGCAAAAGTAAAACAAAAATACCAATTTTATTGGTGTTTTTGTTTTACTTTTGCCAGTTCAACGGTCACAAGTAGTTCCACTGCTCCGTATAGATTCATATAGAGTTTTTGGGCTAGGGTAATGGTCAATCAACGCGAAAGTACATGGAAAGTGTGCATTCATCGGTTTTGTCTTGCAGTATAAAGTCGCGAAGAAGAGTGCGTCTTCAGTATGCCGTTGAAAAGGGCCATATTATGCGATTTTTTTTATTCTTAAATCATTAATGTGCGATTTTTCTGGGTTGTCTTTAAATCAGAATAATTATTAATGTGCGTTTCATTGCGATGCCTTTGAATATAGACGGTTACGAAACAGTGTGGACAGATAATGTAAACTAGCTGATAAAATCGATTTGTAATAATAGAGATCAGGCCCGCGTGTAACAAAAGGACACTTCATAACTACCGCCAATATACGTCACAATTTATTCATATTACCGCAGTAGGGGAAGGGATACAATATAGCAGGTTGCAGTTTTACTTTTACCTCATCGTGCATTCGTTCGCCGTAAAAATTAGACGTTTTCTATTTTGTGAGCTGTAAGTGTTAACATATAAATTTTACATTTTGAAATACAAACTCTGCTCTACGGATTTATTTTGTTATTTAGCTAGTCTTTTCACAGTTTTAACGTTTCAAGGAAATTTCCTGAGTTCGATGAACTGAAACTGAGTTGTCGTACAAACGGTCAAAATATTTTATAAAAATTACGATTTTATAGAATTGCTTTGAAAATTTGGGATATTTGGATATTTTAGATATAGTACAGATTTTTCGTACGGATTTTGATTTTTGATATTTATCATACTTTTAAAATAGAACTAGTAAGAAAGCTTTTGATTCTTGGCAATTGTGAGAGGTTTTAAAACTTTATTTTACGCTTACTTCACTATTTGCATAGTAACTAATTATACTAATTTAATTAAGGTTGTGTTAATAACGAAACGAAACGAAATACGTTATTCTAAGATATATAAGACGTTTCATTCAAGGTGAACAGTATTGAAAAGACGTGAATTATATAAATAATAAATCTTACATAACGTATGAGAAACGGGAAGTGAAATTTGGTTGAGACAAAAACGTCACCAAATTCAACGTATGACGTAATTTCAACGTCTTGTAAACTTATGTCTGTGTTGCAGTCTGCAGAATTGCCAAGGACGCACTGCATTTGTGTGTAAAATATAAATCGCGTGTAATGGAGAAACGCTTTTTGGTATAAGTAAGGCTTGTTGGTATAAGTAATGCTTTTGGCATAAGTAACGCTTTTTAGTATAAGTAACGCCGTGACAGTTGTATGAATAATGCCACTTCGAAACGTCACAAGTGTCATCAAACGACCTTAAAATTAACTCGTACAAATGTTGCTCAAGAAGCAACTATGAACTTTATGTCTGTTATTAATAACAATTCTTATTGTTAAACACCTGAACGTACCTGCGAGTAAAAATCCGTAAAAGGCGAAAGTATCTTCGGGGAGTAATTTCAAAGCAATGAGAACTGTTAAAACGATAACCTTCAAGTTCTTAGATCTCCAAAAATAGAAAAAAACCATTACGGACTGTTCTATTTGTGTACAGAAAAAGAAAAAATGAAGCTTTTTATTAAATTAAAATAAATGACCAATTCTAAGAGGTTTTTGGATAATGGCATCTCTCTGCAAACGTTCTTGGAAGCTGCGTAAGTAAAGTTGTCTGTGTTTAAGATTTTACATGCTTTCATTTTAGAGGAGTTTGTGGCCCACAATGCGAACGTCAACTGCCTGGCATTGGGGCACAAATCGGGCCGGGTTATGGTTACGGGTGGAGATGATAAGAAGGTGAACTTATGGGCTATCGGCAAGCAAAGCTGTTTCATGAGCCTCAGCGGGCATACGACCCCAATTGAGTGTGTGCAATTTAACCACGTTGAAGAGCTAGTATGTGCGGGCTCACGTGCCGGTGCTCTCAAAGTGTGGGACTTGGAGGCGGCAAAGCTGGTCCGCACGCTGACCGGACATCGCGACAGCATTAAATGCGTCGACTTTCATCCGTACGGTGATTTTCTAGTGTCGGGCGGATCGGATAGTACAATCAAATTGTGGGATAGCCGGAAGAAGGGGTGTATATGTACATTTCCTGGTCATACAACGACAGTGAATAGTCTTAAATTTAGTCCCGACGGGCAGTGGATCGCGTCCGGCGGTGAGGATTCTCGAATAAAAATTTGGGATCTGAGGGTCGGACGCGTTTTAAAGGAATTTACGGAACATATGAACTCGGTGACGTGCGTGGAGTTTCATCCGCACGAGTTTCTACTAGCTAGCGGTAGTACGGATAGGTCGGTTCATTTTTTCGATTTGGAGAACTTCAATGTGGTGTCTACGGAACGAGATGTCGGGTCGGTTAGGTGCTTGTGGTTCAATCCGGACGGCGAATGTTTGTTTACTGCGGTCAGAGACTATCTTAAAGTAATCGGGTGGGAGCCCAATAGGCTGTATGATTCTGTACCCGTGAATTGGGGAAGGATTTGTGATATTTCGACTGCTCAACATCAATTAGTAAGTATATGAATCAATAATTTGGTAACTGGCACCATTCTTATATAACCGAAGTGTCGTCCGTTCTCATTATTTCATAACACTCGCACTTTATATGCTAATTATTCGCAAGCGTGTAATTTATGCATTCAAAATGAAGATATTCTATTTATTTCCCGTTTGTCAGATGTGGGTGGCTGTAGATTTTTCAGTAAAAAATTCGCCTACTGAAATTCCTCACATGTAGCAATTAATCATAAAATATCAATAAAATGGATAAACTTTTATTGTTAGCTGTTGCAGTACCTATAAATTAATTTGGGCTTTTGCTATAAAAATCAATTTCAGTGCCAATGACCTCAAACCAATCCAGGGCCGAGTTTCTTAACAAGCGAGTTAATAGGGATTTGTATATAATTAGACCAAAGCAGAATTTGTCACTCCCATATTTTCTTATTAGAGCGGCAAAATCTGCATTGTTACTACAGCACATCTCACAGACTCCCAACAGGAAACTGCACGATCAATTACTCACGCGAGAAATTTGTTCCCATCAATTGTCTTACCTATTCGATACATAATTACGCAAATGAAAGTGCAAACAATTTAAATTTGTACAATTTTAGATAATCTAAAAACAAAATGTTTACACTAATGTGTATGTAGCATATAAGTCAAGATCATTAGGTGCTTAATTGGTAAGAACTGTATTAGTAATTCAAATTAAAGTAACTGAATTGCTAATTAAGGAACTCAACGCTCTTGAATTTATTGTAGATTAGAGGTTTCGATAAGTCATTACTACTACAGTCCATTATTCATCTTGGATATTGCAAAACGACAGGAAAATAATTAGCGAGATCGTTTTAATTATAAACGTTCCTTGATGTTTTACCTTAACCTCCTAATACAATTTTTAGATCTTTGTGTAGGTAAATTTTTGCTCCTTGAAAGTGAGACAAAATAATTGAAATTAGAGAAACCAAGGAGAAATCTGTCATCTAAAATTTTTTGGGAAATACGACTTTGTTAATTTTTGCTTGATTTTTTTTGTGGGTGTAAAAGTCATTGTGGTATCGATTGGCTGATGCTAGTGTATTTCGTGTTCTACTTACTTTGTGATGTCACTCATAAAAATCCCTCGAATGGGAAGCAGACACCATCTCCACTTTTTAAAAAA